ATATATATATCCACACACCGCTAAATTGCTCACAATTTGTCACGACTGCCACCAGCTTCTATAAATTTTTGGGGATTAATGTAAAAAGTCATCACATTTATTCTTATAATATATTTCAGCAATTAGGCAGTTCAAAGTGCTTTTACATGACCCATAATGAACAAATAGTTCATTTTGTCAAATCCCTTCATTGAAAATAATCATTATTAAATATACATCAAAGATGAATCAATGTTCCAGTTTTTTTTTTTTTACTCAAACACAACTCTACACAAGTGTGTTTTTAGTCTACATATATAATATATATAATATAGGAACTCAGTATTTTGCAGTAAGTTTGTTCCAGATTTGTGGTGAATAAAAACCGAATGCTGCTTCTGCGTGTTTGTTTGCAACCCTGGGGATGTGAGGTGGACTCAAACCACACACTGTGCATACCATTATAAATTTATAATATTACATAATTGCAAATTTAAAAAAAATGATTTTAACATTCACACTCTGTAGAAGCACGTCCTGCAATAGTTACAGATGCAAGTTCGTTTTTTAGAAGGTATGATTATTGCTATCCATTCTTTGTGAAGACAAAATGCATTTTAAATCAGTCCTTTAATGATTAACTTAGATTGATGTCTGAAGTTTGTCACTTCACTGCATGAATATGCTTTAATTTAACCCATTTCTTTACACTTCTGGCTGCAATCTTCAGGTCGTTCACCTGCTTAAACCTACACGCCTGCCTCAAATCTTTTGCAACCTCTAGTTTCCTCGCAATATTTTCTTTTATTTGTCCCAATCTATCATCCCATTAACTCTTAACAGCTTAACAGCATCTCCACACCATGATACTCCAACCTCATCCATACAACCTTTTCCCACATGTTTATTCTGTCCCCTATGCTTTTGTCACGGCGAACCGCAAATGTAACTTCTTGTGGCTTTCTTTCAACAATGAGTTTTCTTCTTGCAATTCTTCCGTAATGGTGAGAAAGAGGCGCTGCTTTTGTTTCTAAAACACAGAGTTTGAAAGATTGCAAGATCTGCAGCCAAGGTCAGCCTGCAGCCTTCACACAGTTACAGTAGGACGGTGTTGCAACACTGAGCCTGGCAATTTAGCATGAAAAGAAAAGCTACTGAACCCTCAGTCCACGTGTCTGGTTACAATGAGGTGACTGATTATTATGCTCTGCCTACATGGGAGCAGAGTCTCACATGGACGCAGCAGATGATATGTTGAGCTTTTGCTCTCCAACTAGTCTTGATTATTTTTCTGTCATCTTATAGTCTCTAAGCACTTGTCTAACTGCCAGTT